TAGCTCTTAGAAATTAATAAAAATAAAAACTATTAGTAATAATAGCTAAAGATAATATTTAAAGTATAACCTAATAACTTAATATATTAAAAGATCCTAAAATAGATAAAAGAATATAAAGTACTAAAGGGATATAATATAGAATATTCGGAAGTTCTATTATATAAAAATAAAATCTAGATACTATTAGCGTTATAAGATAAAGTTATATAAGATATATATAAATATCTAATATATAGATACTAAGGAATTTAAAGAATAATAAAATAGATTAAATAATAATATAACTTTTAATAGCTTAAAGAAGTAGTATAATAAGTTATTAAAAAATATAAACTTTATATATAAAGTAAAGCTAAATAATATAAGCTATATAGAGAGTTATAACCGCTCTTAGTACTAAAGAAACTATAGGATTTAATAGCTTTTAATTATATTATAAAGCTACTACCGTTAAAAGAACCTATAACTAACGTTAAGTATAATAATATATTTATTATTACTAACTAATTAATAAAGTATAGATACTTCTTACTATATAAAAAAGTAAGTAATATAAAAGAGCTAGTATATATATTCCTATAAATAGTTATTAGTAATTACGGACTACTAAATAAGATTATCTTTAATAAAGGAAGTATATTTATAGCTAAGTTTTAGTAAGCTCTTATAGTATAATTAAAGACGAAATATAAGCTTAGTATAGCTTATTACTTATAAATAAATAGATAAATAAAATAACTTAACTAAACGCTTAAATAGTATTTATAATACTATATTAGCTATAAATAAAACAATTAAGTTAAATAGCTATTAATAGCGTAACTAGCTTATAATAGCTTAGTTATAGAAATAACTAAGCTCTTATAAATATACGCTAATTATAGATATAACCTAGAAGTATTTAAGGTTACTTAATAAGGACTATAAGTAGAATAAGTAATACTATAAGTAGATTAGCTATAAAAATTATATAAAGAAATATAATAAGAACTTTAATTTATTAAAGAATAAATATCTACTTACTATAATTAGAAAAGATTATAGGGACTAATCTTTTAAGAGGGAGATATAGCCTACCTTATATAATAAAATATTAAAATAAAACGACTAAGTAATAAATTAGATTTTAAGAAACTTAGACCGTTTAAGGTTAAAAAAACTATTATAAAAGTTAACTATAAACTTTCCTTACTAACGATAATATAGATATACTTAATATTTTATATCTTATTATTAAAACTAGTACTATAAAACGCTAAACTATAGGAAAAAATTAAAGTTAATAATAATTAAGAATATAAAGTAGAATAAATACTAAATATAAGAAAATAAGGTTAGTAATAGGAATACCTTATTAAGTAGAAGGGATATAGACTAAAAGAAAATACTTAGGAACTACTTAAGTACTTAACCTACTATAGTTCTTTACTTTAATAGTTTTACTAAGCGAACCCTTACTTAGAAATATAGGGTTACTAAGAATAGTATCTTAGTCTAATATATTTAAGGTACTAAACGATTAAACCTCGCTAATAGTAATAGTTTCCTTATTTAATAAATAAACCGATTTATCTTAATAAGAACGCGTTATACTATCTTCTTTATTAATAGCTTATATACCCCGCTATAATAACTTACTACCTCGGTCTTTTAAGAAACGCTTTTATTTCTTAATCTAAGCTAGGCGAGCTATTACTTCCTCTAACGCGTTTTTTACTTTCCGTTCGTTTAAATTAATCTTTTACTATTAATTTATAATATAATAAACTAAAAAAAAGGAATATTAGCGAAAATAATAATAGGGAAGGAAAGGAATAAAATAAATAGGCGGACGCTATATTATAACTATTATAAGAACGACTTATAGAGGTATATTTAAAATACCGATTAAAACGCTCGCCGACCTTATAAGTTAAGCCTAACCGAAAATAACGGGAGTAAGGTATAATTTTAATACTATAGATCTTAGTCTAGGATACTAGCTCCGATCGGTATTATAATTTATCGGAATTATAAGAATAGGATTTTTAAATATAACTAAATATACTATTAGTAGTATATCCTAAAAAGATAAAGGAATAAGGAATAATATACTTATATATAATATAATAAGGGTATATTTATATATAGCGGCTAGGGTAGTAGGTCTTAAAGGTAAGACTAAAAGGAGGGGAGGCATCCTATTATAACTATAGTTTAGCGAACCGCGGGGACTAGTATATATTACGAGGATATGTAACGTAAGGGGCAAGGAATATTAAACGGACCGACGGGCTAATTAAGTTTAAAGCGATAGGTTACTTTAGCGCTTTAACGCTCTATAGCTAGGATTATAGGATCGCTCTAGCGCTCTAGCGCTCCTAGGCGATAGGATTACTTAGTACTCTTAGCGATCTAGGGAAGCTCTTAAGATATATAAGGAAAGAATAAAATACTTTTTTAGATAAATAGCTTAATAGCTTTTAATATATTATAGATCCTTATTATAATTCTATCTTTAATTTTAATTAATTAGTTATAGTCTATAGTCTATAACCTCTAACTTATTACTAATATAATATATATATTATTACTTAAACTACGCCCTATTATATCTATTAATATAAACCCCTTAATAGGTTTATCCCTTAAAAATAATACTAGTTATTATACTAAGATAACCTTATAAGAAGACTCTATTAACTATAACTCTTACTTATTTATAAATTTAATAGTAAAAACGTAACTAAATCCCTTAAAAAGTTTAAATAAGAGATACGCGTTAACTATATCTATAATAAGGATAAAATAAACTAGCTTAAAGTCTATATATCCTCTATATAAGCCCTTACTATTAAAATTCTTATAAACGGACTTACTTAAAAAGAAGTAAAAAAGAGACTCCTTTAATACTACTATATATATAATATTAAATAACTAGAAACTACTAACGACCGCTTAAACTATTATAATACTAAAAAGCCTAAGACTATTATAGAAGTTATAGAATAGCTTAGTCTCTACTTATACTTATAGCGTAAAGTATAACCTAACGGCTAAGAAGACTCTATAGTTTAGTTATACTTTATTTACTATATAATACTAAAGGAGCTTATTATTAATATTATAGAGAGAAATAAGAAGATATTTAAAGTTATCTTAAAACTCTTATATAAAAGCCTTATCTATATAATTAATAACTACTTAGTACCTCGCTAGGACGTTAAGCGACGAGATATAGTATCTAAAGTCTATAATTAAAAGCTTAAGAACTTAAAGAAAGACTAGCTCTTTAGGGAAATTAATAAAGTAATAAAGGAAGCTAAATCTAATAAGGGCGAAGAAAAACTTCCTAAAAAGTTAAAGAAAATAGATAAGAAACCTAGATAGCCTATAAAGGAGATCTTAGACCTAATAAAAGCCTTTAAAGATATAAAGATTAACCTTACTCGCTAGTAAGACTAGATATTTAACTAGCTTAATAGGGAATAAAAACGCGTTAATAGTAAAAGCTACTCTTTAAGTTATAAATAAGGAGGTAGTATATATACTATTAGGTTTTACTACCTATTTAATTAATATATATAGTTTTAGGTTAATACTTTTAACCGGCTTAAGAGATACTTTTATTATAGTAAAGAAGGATATTACCTTAATAAGTATAAAGTATACTCTTAGGACTATAAGATTAGATTTATAATATATAAAGTAGTAAATAGGACTCTTTACCTTAAAAGAAAAGATAATAAAAGCGTAATTCCCTTTATACTTACTAATAGGTTTTCTTAAATAAGTATATATATTTAAAGGCTTATTATATACTAAGTAAATATATAGCTAGACTCCTTTATATTACTACTTATAATATAGGTTAAAGCTATAGTTATACTATCTTACTTAAATTAAGCTACTAGTAAAAGAGAATTTAGTTTCCTAGACTAGTTTTAAAGATATAATAGCTTATATAAATAGAAGCTAAGGAATCTAAAAGTAAGTAATATAAGAAAAGAAGTAAGAAGGATATCGGTTATTATAATTATAGATAATATATAATAAAGCAATATATATAATTAGATAATCTATATAACTATAATAGGGATTAATACTTATAAGGGGAAAAGATAAAGAGTTAAAGAGGATATAGAGGAAATTAAGATAACGAGAATAATAAAAACTAGCCTAAAGATTATCCCTATATACTATAAATATAAAGTAGATTTAGATAAGAAGTTTAATAGACTTATAAATAAAATTGTTAGAGAAATTATATATAAAAGAATCTTAATCCCTTTAAATTACTTAATTAACTTTATTTCTTAAATAAGTAAGAGACTTAGTATAAGATATATAGATATAGCCTAAGGTATAGAAAATACTAAATTCTAGACCCTAAAGAAAGTAAAGAGTAATATAAGACCTTATAGAGCTATAATAACGGTTATAAAAGTAGCTAAAGATAATATAAAGAGTGGTTTACTCCTCCTTAAATATCTATAAGGAAAACTTATAGTAGCTTTAGTATAAGTTAAAGAATAAAATAAAGAATACTAAGTTAAACTAATTAAGCTTACTTACCTTACTTATAAAGAATTAGATTATAAGTGCCTTAAAGTCTAATAAGTATTAAAGAAAGTTAGGTTTATAACTAATATAATTAGTATAACGTAACTAGCTTAAGGACTATTTAATTAATAAACTCTAGAGGTAATAAGACTAAAGAAAGACGGATTTATTATATAGGAAGTAGTACTCTTAATAAGATACTAAGAAATAACTTTAAAAGACCTTATAGTAATTCTTATAATATATATAAACACGGTCCTTATACCTTTCTACTTACTTAAGTATATATAAGACCTACCCTATATTTAAGTATAGCTTAGTAGTTAGAAAGCTAAAGGCGCCGAAAGAAGAATCGGCGGCAAACTTCGGCGAGTGGCTCCAATCAGTTGCTCCACGGACAGCAATCGTCTACTCGGACGGATCCCTCTCCCCGGAGGGAGCCGCGGGGTACGGCTATGCGGTACATCAGGATGGACTCACCGTCCTCAGCGGTAACGGCCGTCTTGGGCTTGCTGAGGTCTTTGATGCCGAGGCGAGAGGCTCCCTAGAGGGTCTGCGTGCTGCGTTGAGCCTCCCGGCTGCAGACCAGATTGTCGTATGCCTCGATAACCTCGCGGTCGCGACGTGTCTTCAAGGCATGCCGTCAGATTCCTCCCAGAAGGAGTTCCTGGAATTCCAGGCCTTGGCCGCAGAACATGGTGCCACTGAGATCCGCTGGATCCCCGGCCACACCAACATCCCAGGTAACGAGCAGGCAGACGCCTTAGCAAAGGCAGGAACCTCTCAACCCGAGCCTGCAGACGCTCTCCCGACGCTGGCATATCTGCGCAAGGTCGCTAGGCAGCGACCAAAAGACGCATTCAAAGCCTGGTGGGAAGTTTCTGCACCCCAACAGTACAGGGTCCTCGACCTCGATGCCACGACTGGCTGCCCGCCAGAACTTACCATTCCACGACCTCTGCTCCACCATCTGCTCGCAGCAAGAACCCACCACGGGGACTTCGCTGATTACCACGAAAGGTTGAACCACGACGATGCGCGACTGACGTGCTCATGTGGTCGACGAAAGAACAAAGCATCTCTTCTATTGCCGGAAGATCGCGCCGCGACATCGGATGAGGTTGGCACCCTCACCGAGCGCGGCGGTCAACCGAGCAATAGGCAGAGACTTCGACCAGTTCGTCAAGGTGGCGAAGGCAAGCTCGTTCTTTGGAACGATCTGCCCTCGCCACTAGGCGGCAGCAACCGCTTTCCCTCCTTCCCTTCCCCTTTGTTTGCACACACACCCATTTTCTCTTACCCGACTCGGCCGGGCGGAGGGTGCTCTCCGGAACCGGCCCTGTGAGGCCAAAACGAAAGACATGGCTGTCGCGCCTGAACGTCCCGCTGACGGGCAGCAGGCTGAGCAAAGAAGCGCCTTTGAGCCGATGAAATGCTGAATGGTGGATTGTTTACGTTCTGTGGAAGGGGCAGAAGACGCGGATTGGTACTCGTTTCGTTTCGCGTATTGTGGGCCTACTCCGCGATAGTAGACTTCCAGCAGCTCAGCACGTCCTGTGCCCCGTCTCGGGGACCTGAGCGACCTAAAGGTCGCTGGACGGAAAATACAATAATAATAATAATTAGAAAGCTAAAGTTCTAAGCGCCTTAATCAATACTAGGTTTAAAGGAAACCTTATTACTAAAAGATATATAAACGTATATAGGCTTAAAATCCTATTAATAAGAGTATTAACGACGGCGTATACTAGGTCCCTTATAAATATAGTTAGGGATATAGAGACTAATCTCTATCTAAGTATAGTTTAGATACTAATCTATCTTTATATTATACTAGATAAAGTCTTAGTCCCTTTTATCCTAAGCATACTATTTATTAAAGCGGCGTATATATTATTTAATTATTCTTTAAGGAACGGCGATATATAGGTTAAATATTAAATCGGTACTATTTAAGTAGTTACGCTAGTAGTAGGAGCTAATAAATAAGAGCTTTTAAATAAATTTAATATAGTAAAATCCTTTTAGACTATAACCTTAATAGTTAATAAAGATATATATAAAAGACTAAAGCTTAAGGAGACTATATAGGAAATAGCTACCTAGCTCCTAAGAAATTTTTTTAGGCTTTAGTAATAGAATTTAAAGAAGATAACCTAAGAGCTACCTAATAATTATAGAGAGAACCTATTATAGATACCCTAATAGCTAAGATTCTCTTACTAAGAGGTAAGATCCTTAGTTATAAAAGGGGCGCTAACTAAGTCCTTAACCTAGCTTATACTAGCGTAAAAGAGCCCTTAATAGTACTAGTATAATAGTAATTAATTATAGATAAAGGAAATAAGGCGATTCTAGCTATTAGATCTAAAATAGTAAAAGAGATTATTAAAGTTATAGTTATAGAGGCTATAGGAGAATTTAAGAAAAATATTATTAAAGCTAAAAAGAAGTTTAGAAAGATCTAGAAGGTTAAAGTTAATATAGGGAGGAAACGACCTATTAGATTATATAATCTAAGAGTTAATACTCTCTTTAAAAGAAAAGTAAATAAGATTAACTTTATTAACGATACTTTATTAAACGGCTCGACGCTAAAAGGGGACCCTAACTAAAAGAAAACTAAATAAAATACCGTTAAAGATAAGATATAGCTTAGACCCTACCTAGAATACTTAATAGGAAAATTCTTAAGTATATAGAAAGGAAAGCGGCTAATATAAGAAAGACTTAAAGTAATTTATAAATACTTTAAGGGCTTTTTTTTAAAAGTAAAGATCTAGATCTTTAATAGTATTTTATTTAATAGGGAAGTAGTATTATCCTAGGACTTTATAAAAAGAGGTAAAGTCGACCTAGCTATAGCCCCCTTATAGGTTATTAGGATAATAGAATATAAGGTATAGTAAGTAGCCTTAATCCTAATCCTAAAAGTAATAGAGTAGAAAGTTATCGATATCCTTAAAATTAGACTAGAAATAAGAGTCCTTAAAAAAGGGTATAAGCCTTATAAGAACCCCTTTTTCTTAGTAGTAAAGAAAGATGGAGGACTATACTTAATTAATTCTACTATATATATAAATACCGTTATAATAAGAGATATAAACCTACCGCTAAAAATAAATAAGTTTAGTAACTACTTTTTAATATATAAGATCCTTTCCCTCCTAGACCTTTTTTTAGGCTATAATTAGATCCCTCTTAATATTAAAAGCTATAACTTAACGATATTCGCAATACTTATTAGCCTCTTACGTATATATATACTCCCTTAAAGAGCTACGAACTTAGTTAGCTAATTTATAAGGATAATATAAAGAATCCTATAAGACCTTATACTAAATATCTATAGGAATTTCCTTAATAATATAGGTATTAAAGGGCTTAATATAACGTATAATAATAAAGAGGTAGCGCTAAGAGTAAGGAGATTTATCTTTAAATACCTTATTAACCTTAATAAAGTCTTAGTTAACGTTAAACTCTTTAGTTATATAATTATAAGGGCTAAATCGAAATTCTATTAGTAAGTAACTAAAGTTATTAGTTATATCTATAGAATAAATAGAAGGTGCCCTATAAAAGCTAAAGTTATTAAAATTAAGGAATAAATAAGATACCTTAATATAATATATATTAAAGCTTTCCTTAATATTATAGGATACTATTAAATTAAGATTAAATAGTTCGCTGTCTTAATAAAACCCCTTATAGACCTACTAAAGAAAGAAGTCTATTAAGAATAAGGAGATAAATAAGTAAAAGTAATAGCTGCCTTTAAGGAAGCTATTACTAATCTAGTCTTTTTAGTATCCCTTAACGTTAGCTTAAGAAAAGGAGATATTATTCTAATATATAATGCTAGTTTACTTAGCTAGGGGGCAGTCTTAATATAAATCGTTAATAGAAAGAGGCGCCTTATAAGGTTCGAAAGTAAAACGTAGTTACTAGTAGAAACTAAATATAATATAATAAAGAGGGAGTATAGGGCTATATTAAGTACGCTTAAGAGACTAAGAATATACCTATATAGCGTATATTTTATCTTAGAAACTAATATATAAGTCTTAGTCGATTAACTAAAAGGTGCCCTTAAAGACGTCCTTAGAGGTATAATAACTCGCTAAATAAGCTATATTTTCCTCTTTAACTTTACTATATTATATATTAAAGGCAAGAAAAATAGTATAGCTAATAGACTCTTAAGAAAGCTTAAAGGACCTTCTAATATATTAAATAAGGAAATAAAAGGCGATATTAAAGAATTTATAGACTTTTACTTAAATATAGTATAAGGGACTAAGCTATAAAGGGACTACTTAAAGGAATCGAGGATAATTATAGACTTCCTTTAAACGTTAAAACGGCTAGAGGGCCTTTCTAAAGAAGACTATAAGAAGCTACGTTTAAAGAGTTTAAATTTCTACGTTAAAGATTAAAAGCTTTAGTAACTCCCTAAGAAGGAAGAAAGGGGACCTATACTAGTTATAAACGACCTAAAAAAATAGAAAAGGATTATCGTAAAGTACTATATATAAATAGGATATAAAGGACGATAAGTTATATATATATTTATAAAAAATAGGTATTAGTAGGCTAGCCTTTAAAATAATATTTATAGTATAATCCCTTTTTATAAAGAATGCTAATACTTTATAACTAAGAGACCTTAGGAAGTTATAACCGCGACTACGCTTAGCTACCCTATAAGTAAGATTTACTTTAATAGCTAGTATATACTATCTAATTATAAGTATTTATACCTTATAAAAGTATAAGACGACCTTATTAAATAGGTAGAAGTAACCTTAGTTAAAGAAATTACTATAAGAGCTATAACTAAATTTATACTCTTTATTATTTATAAGTATAGCGTAATACTATATACTATAATCGATAAAGGGCCTAAAATAAAGAAAGACTTTAAGTATATCTTAAAGGATATAGGTATTAAAGTTATTTAAACTTTAGTATATAATCTAAAAGTAAACGCGGTAGTAAAATAAGGGTACTAGAGGTTAATAATAATACTTATAAAAATAGTAGAGAAAAAAAGTAAGTAGATTAATACCTTAACTAAGTAATCCTTATAGACTAAATAGTAGTTAAAGAGTCTTATAGAATATTAGCTTTCTACTTACTATATAGATAGGAACCGGTACTACCTCTTAAGGTAGAATACTTAACTTAGCGACTAATTAACTAAAATAAAGTAAAAATAAAAGAAGAATTATTTAAAGTATAAGTATAAGTTTTAAAAAAGAAAGAAAAAGATATAAAAGAAGCTAAGAAAAGAGTAATAAGATATTAAAATCGATTAATAAAGAGGACGGATAAAGCTAATAAGTATATAATAAGGAAAGAAAGCTTATAACTTAGAGACCTTATCTTACTATTTAATATAAGATAATTAAATAATCTAAGAAGGTAAGCTAAGTATTAAATAAGGTAGAACGGTCCCTTTTAAGTAGTATCGCGCTCGGAGTAGTCTAAAGTATATAGGATTAAGACTCTAGATAGAATTATACTTAATAAGAGAATCTTAAGAGAGTATTTAAAGAAGTTTAAAAAGGATAAGGAAGGTTAATAGTACTTTACTAAGGATAACTAATTACTTTAAAATAAGATTACTCTTAATAAGAAGAGGAAGGAAGAAATAATAAATAAAGTAGATAATTTACTACTCTTACTAAGTAGAGAAGCCTTAGATTAAATAGTACTATAGTTATAATAACTCCTTAATAAACCTTAGAAAGATTAAAGCTAAGAAGAGGAAAAAGAGCGACTATAAATACCTAAGAAAGGCCTAAGGTATACGATTAAGGTTTAGCTATTATAACTTAGTAGAGTAAAAAAGGATCTTTATATAGAAGCCTTAAAGACGCTAATTTAATAAGAAAAAAAGGAGGTAAAAGGAGCTAGGAAGGAAAAGGTAGTAAAGATAAAAATCTATAACTATCGTAAGAAGCACGCTAGACTCTAACTAGTAACTAAGGCACTATCTAACTATTTAATCGAAGGACGACTATAGTAGCCGAGATATTTATAAGCGCCTTACTTACTACCTTATTATTTTAAATTTTCTATTTAAAGCTCCTTAAGTAAATAAAGATAATATTTCCTACCCTTCCTTAATAATAACCTACCCTTTACTACCTTAAAGAAGATAAATAGAGATATAGGTAAATAATAAAGTAAGAAAATAAATATTCTTACTACTTACTTTCTTTAAGAA